GGGAAGGCTGTTTCCTCATGAAGATGGTGAACATATATCACGTAAGTAGAGCAAAAATTTAATTTTAAATTTAATTTTAAAAAAATCTTTACACGCGTGCAATGCGCAAAATCATGTGAGTTCGTTCGGCCATATGACGTCGGTAGATTACATTAGATCACGCAGGAGGGAAGGCTGTCACCTTATAAAGGTTGTGACCAAAAATCATGTAAATAGAACAACAATTTATATTTTTAATTTAATTTAAAAAAAAAACTTACACGCGTGGATTCCGCGACATCATATGATGACGTTCGGCCAGCTGCCCTAACTTTTAATGACATCATATGATGACGTTCGTCCGATAAAGGTTAATCATATATAGTTTTTAATATTAGGTTTTTAGTATTGTTTTTGTGCCTGTAATGATATTATGTAGTGTTACTTGACTATATGTACGTTTGTATTGGTTTTTCTATTGGTTATGACAATTTTCACATCCTTATACTTTGTATGGATGTATGGGAATAAAGGTATATGAGTATGAGTATCAACCAACTACGCGCTCCTGTTTGTCCTTGTGGTGTGTAGTTAGAACTAAAACACAAGAAAGTAGTGTAAGTTTGTGTGACAGTTAATCCCAAAACTTGAAAAGAGGAAACATCAGAATCACTGACCTTCTTTATGTTTGAGGTTTGCAGTGCAATTTAGAAGTTCCAAATGGTTTAGAACAAAACCACATTTTCTTTGTCTCCCTGTTTGTTTTCATAGAAAGAGAGTAGATGATATCTATAAAGAATTATGATATGAATGAACTGTGAGTATCATGAGTAATATCCCTTCACATATACACCACCAGAATTGTGATGAAAATGTTTGTTTGTGTGTATGACATATGTGATAAGTTACAGGCATGTTTTGTTGCAGGCCCAAGCAAGAAACTGGGTAAAGCAGCAGCAGCGAAGGCAGCATTAGCCAAACTGTACAACATAACATTTTCACCATTCACATCACTGTTTCAGCCAAACAGGAATTTTGGGTCTCCAGGTGCTCCGCCAGTTTCCTTTGAGCAGATGGCTCTACCTCAAGTGCTTGCTGATCATATAGCCAGGTGAAACACATGTTCAGTACCCTGTGTGACACATGCATTGTTCATGTGGCTGAGATTAAGATTCATTAACTGGCAGGGAAACAGCAGGGACTCACTGTGGTACCTGTTCACATCCAGTCTGCAGTATTATAAGTTACAAAGTCTGTAAACTCTTAGCAGCCACTAGCAAGTAGGTAGGTGCTTGTTGTACGTGAGTGTGGAACTTGCTCTCTCACCCTAAGGAGAGAACATAGATTGAGGGTGTTTGAGAACAGGATGTTGAAAGTAAGAGAGAAGTGTTGGGAGGATGCAGAATATTGCATGGGGATGTGTAGTGTGTGGGGGGGAGGTAAATATTGCATACCAAATTTTTGTCAGAAGAACTGAAGGTAAGAAACCGATTTGAAGACAAAGAAATAGATGGGAGGATAGTATTAAAATGGATTTTAAGGAAATAAAATGTGACAGTATGGACTACATTTATGTGTACAGTGGCAGGCTCATGTGACATTCTAATGAATTTTTAGTTGAGTAATTATGAACTTCTCAAAATGGGCTGTACTTGATGATGCTTGAATCTATAAAGAGTTGATTGATGTTACTGTTTTGTCGCTTTGAATGCATCACAGACAGTATTCACTAGTTTGTGGACAAAGCTGATGTTATCAGACAGGAAATGTAGTGAAGAATGTTATGCAAGAATTTGATGTTTTCAATTTAGTCAAGACTTCAGCTGGGGAAACTTTATTGGCCTAGTAAGTGAAGACACTGTGAAGTAAACTGAATAACTTTTTTCAGGTTAGTGATAAGCAAGTTCACAGCTCTGATCGAGGGACAGCCAATGCACTCTCGAAGGAAGGTTCTGGCAGGCATTGTGATGACAACAGGTCCTCAGATGGAGGATGCAAAAGTGATATCAGTAGCTACAGGCACCAAATGTATCAATGGAGAACATATGAGTGTGCAAGGAGCGTCCTTGAATGACACTCATGCCGAGATCATTGCCCGTCGTTGTCTATGTGACTTTATGTACTCGCAGCTGGAACTGCACATAAATCCAGGTTTGCTGTGGGCTTCTATATGCAAGATCTGATACTGGCCTCATAGTTTAAACTGTGTATTGAATATTTTAACCTTAATTCCCTACCCTCAGCTCTTCTGCTGTCATTTGGTATACTTTTATTATCATACAGTAAGTGGTCTAATTTTTGTCAGTATAACAAAATTTTGACCAAAATTTAAGTATTCTCTCAGAATTTATGATTTTTGTATCAGTGATTGGAGTTGAGTTACAGCTTTTGTGTAGAGCAAATCTGGTGTGGGAATAAGACATGCAGCTATGTAGGGCCAGGATTGGTTACCTGGGTGCTGTTCAGAGTAAAGCAGAATTGATAGGTGCAAACAGAATTGGAAGTGTTGTTTTAGAAGTATAGCATTTTGGCCTTTTTTGTCAATGGTGTTGATGGTTGGCTGAATTGTGATATATTGAGGTGCACAAATGATGGCAAAATGAATCAGATATTAAGGCACTTGGAATATCAAGTGATGCAAAACATGAAGATATGTGAATTATCAGAGGGATGGGAGAAAATCTGAATGAACTGAAGGGTTCAGTGAATGGTTTTGGTTAAAAAATGGATATTTTAAGTGAGATAGCAAAATCAGTACCCCCTGAGCAGAATGGGATTATGAGTTTAATGGAATTCTGGGGTGGAGGGTTAAGAGAGTTGGAGCATCATCAGAGAGTGGTGTATGGCTAGTGAAGAAGAATGGGTTTACTTGTTTTTGGAATGGGGAAAAAAAATCCAAATGAAAGTTATTTTGATGCTTTGAAAATTGTGGAAGAGCTTTCATAAAGAGGAATGGGAATATGTATTACAAACAGGCATGTTACTAGTGTAGTTAGTTTAAGGAAGAAAAGAGCACAGCCAGTGTTAGTAAAATTTTCATATTTTTCAAAGATATGCAAAATGAAAATGTTTTTTTTAGAATTTTGACTGGATACTAAATTGTGTCTTTTTGATTTTGAAATGAGTTTTTTTTTGTAGGGAAAGGATATCGGATAACATGTTTATTATTAAAACCATTGCAGATAAATGTTGAAGGGTAGAAAGGAAGTAAAATTAATGGTGCTTTTTAGTTTTTTAAAAAGTGCTTAATTTATTGCTTAAAAATGAGAGCGGAGAGAGTGAACAAAGTGGTCCAGTGTGTGAGAGTGTCAGATTGTGTGCAAGATGTGGTGGTAATGAAATTTAAGTCTGAAGTACTTGTTTTGGAAGGGGGAGGGTTATATAAAAAAGTGAGAAATGGAAGATGCAAGGGCAAGCTGTAGAAATGACACTGAATAAGATACTGAGGAATAACCTTGGACAGAAGAAGGGGACGGGGAAAACAGAAAAAGAGAAATATGGCCCAAGGTAGATGCTGATAGATGTAGGTAAGTGGTTAGCTAGGACAAACATTCCGTGCTAGATATAAATAGCTTACACACACAATTGGGAAACATAACAGCAATTTGGGGTACTCAAACCACATGTTAAACATGGCCTCAGATATGGGACCATAACTGATACAGTGGACATCATAAAAACAAAGAAAAATGGAAAGCTTTTAACCTTTAAGAGCCGAAAGACACCGCATGGAGACTCGCAGTCCACTTGTGCACACAGTGTTTTAAAATCTAGTTTTAAGATAGAAATTCTTGTTCTACTTACATTATTTTTGGACACCAGCTTTATAAGTAGACTCTCTTCCCTCCTGCATCATCTAACTGAATGTTGCATGTCACTGAATGCAGAGTCCGACGTCGCAATTCATGCACTTTGTCCGTAATTAACTCTGTTTTCCACGCGAAGCACGCGCACACAATGTTAGTATCGTATTAGCAGGAAGAAGCCAGTAATGGCGATTGGTGTCCTCTGTTCATAATGCTTATAAAACATCGCAATTTCAACTATGCACCATGGCCCCTTTTCGCATTGAAGAAGTCGAAATTAAGAGGCCGCTCGTAAATAACACCATTCAGAATGCGTTACAGTTTATTCTGAAAGGATGTGGAAGCAAGGGGAGTGGGGGCATATTCCAAGAAGTGTAGCTCTGTGTGGATAGCCTGACATACGTGAATAAACAAGCAGAGTTTCATAAGGTTACGTAGGATAAGAACTTGCCCACACTCAGGTTTACAGGAAGCCAACGATGTGACTGGAGAATGTGCAGTAGTAAACATCCTCTCGTATTGCCAGATAAAAGACAGTAAGCCATTGCTTCAGCACCATACATTTATACTGCAGAAACGTTTTGTGCAGAAGCTTTATGCATTTTTGTAGACAGACGCTCAAAATTGGGGAAAAATTCTTTTGGAATCAGTGTAACAATTTTTACAGATTCTAAAATCTGTAAATTACAGTATCTGATTCTATATCCTTTCTAGATAAAAGCAGCGTTTATTTCGTTCGTTTATCACAAAAATTGTAGAAATCACAGCATTTTGAGTAACATGATTACAATTTTTATTACTCTACAGTGGCGGGCATTTAAATTAACTCCGTCCCGCTGCCATTACCGGAATTTAAATACCCCGTCCCTTAGAGGTTAAACATATTAGAAAAATACTACATATACAAAATAAGTAAAAACAAGCTACACATGTTAGACGCACACACACACACACACACACACACACACAATGAAATACATAACCTGATATTTGAAACATTACATGAATTAAACACTAGATAACAGTGCACACACCACCATCCACCTTATATAAAGCAGAATAAACCATGCTCACCACATTTACACATGACACAACAGAAGGGAATGTGCAGCACTGCAAAAGAAAGTGTGCATTCAGTGCAGTAAAAACAACAAAGTATTCTATTCATATATACTAACACACTTCATTCAAGGAATGCAAGGCAAAGTTTGATGCACACAACAAAAAACAACACATCTGATATGACATAGAAACAGCCACAATTCAAAAAGATGTGAAGGAACGTCGACATATCTTAAGAATACTATATGATTAGTGTACAGAGAATTATAATCATTAATAAGTGTTGCCTGAAGATGTCCTTGTAAAACCAAAACATGTAGCAGCATAACAACAATATGTGTGTGTGTATATATATATATATATATATATTCGGTAATAATTTTAGTAACATTTTATACATTTAACAATCATTGTATGAATTAAATGTGAATTAATGTTATTAATTTATTGCTTTATAGATGAAAAAAGAAAAAGACTATAAAACGTACATCAGTGCAACAGGATGCTGAAATATAATACACTTATTCCATTTGATTTCCCCTTGTAATAGTAACCGATTATGTATCAGTATGTGATGTGAAACTGTTTGGCCAGGTTATGTGGAATGAATTGAAATTTTAACTTCGTTTTTTAATTTCAGAAACTTCAGAACAGTCCATTTTTGTACCTCGGCCTGACAGTAAAGGTTACCGGTTAAAGGAGAATATCAAATTCCATTTGTACATAAACACTGCACCTTGTGGAGATGCAAGGTTGGTATTGATGCTAGGGTGACATGCTTTACTATCTGTGCCTTTGAAAGCATGGTGAATATTCTGCATATGGAACAGTTACTGAATTTTTTACTTGTGTTGTACATGAGAAGTGTCAAATAGTCAAAAGCCCGCAGTACTTTTCCCACATGGCCTACAGATAACAACAGAAATATTTCTCCTGAAAGCACATTCTGTCGCTTAAACATCAGCATGTCACTTGATGTTGTCTCCTTATACAAATGCTAATTAATCTATTCTGTTAATCTATTGATCTGATTGGCTGTGACAGTTGTGATGTAGGCAGCGTGCACTGATGTGTATGCATGGCGTGCAGAAGGGCAACAAGTTTGCACCATGACAATGCCACTTGGATCCTTAAGAGTGAAACTTTTGTTTTAATTCTTCTGAAAACCATTAGAGTCATGGAAGAAGTATACTTGACATACTCGTAAAATGTGTTTAATTTTCTCTTCATTGTCTTATCAAAACATTTTTCACTGAATAAATATTGTCATTTATGCTTGGGATGCATGCATAAATAAATGTATTTAGGTCTTTGTGTGAAGTGTCTGTAATTGTTGCCTGATTTTAAACAAAATTGTTATGGATCAACACATACTAGTAGTAGTACCTGTTATGGGTTTTAATGAAACTTTCTGCAGTGATTCTCAGGTTGTTACATGGCTAGAGGTAGACAGACAAACGGACATGGTAAACTAAATGGTGGTTTTTTGCAACTTTTCATTGCAGAAAACCAAAAGATATTTATTTTGATTGGCAATAGCTGCTTGAAGTAAAGTACTTCTTGTGAAGTGGGTGTAGCTGAGCTGATGGAGAAATTTCCAGTCTTCTATGGAATATTAAAGTTCATTACTGTGTTGAGAAGTGCCTCTCATTGGATTCTCTCCTGAGCTAGAGGAGTAAAATCCACGCCCTTATGTCCTGTTTCTTCACCATACATTTCAGTGTTTTACTGTCTATGCCTGACTCTCCCATTTGAGTTGCAGTCTGCCCTCACCTCCTGGATCTGATCAGCTAATGACATCATGAACGGTACAGATTATGAGGTTTGACATTCATTTTATCAGCATTATTACTTTTGATTTTATATGCATTCTGTCAACCTGACACTGAAGTAATTTAGGAATTTTACACATGTTTTCAGACTTTGTTTATTGTTTAGCCATCAGAAGTTCTCTGCTGGTGTCTGCTAGCTAAGTAACACAGTGTGCAGGGTGCTCAGCGGTGAACTTTGAAGTCATTTTGCTTCAAAGTTTTAATGTTGGTGAAAATAGAAGTTCCTCCATAGTTCTTTATACGAACCACTTCCTCACTTCATCCTTAAGGATTCACTCCATCTCCCTGACCCAGAGCCCCACATTTGTTCATCTAGTTCACGATTGTGTATGATTATATTTTACCCCAGTATGTAGTATGTAGTTGGCATGATGATTTGAGAGGCTTAGGTTGTATTTAGGAGGCTTAGGATACCAGGCCATACAGTCACTGATTAAAGGAATTATCATCACCTGTGATGACATGGCCCAAAATGTCTTCTTGCCTCTCCAAAAGGTCTTGGCAAATTTCAACCCTTCTTTTGTTTTGTTCTTTGGTGAGCTGCTTTGGGACCACTTTTGCACACACCTTCCTCAAGATCTTCAGTTAAGATTTTCCTAACAGTTTCTTTGTTGATGATCGCTTGTTCTGCTGTGCTCCTGACAGTAAACCGATGATTTTCACCCACAATTTGACAAACTTTGCAATGTTTTCTTCAGTTCTGCTCGTTGCTGGCCATCCTGATCTCTCTTTGTCAGCGAAGCTTTCTCTTCCCTCAGAAAAACGTGTCACCCACTTGTAAATTGCTTTTTTCTTCATAGTATTATCTCTGTAAACTTGCATTAACATCTCTTTGGGTTTGCTTCCACACTTGCCAAGTTTAACAAGAAATTTAATGTTCGTTCATTTCTCTAATTCAAGCTCCAAAATTCTCGTAACGGCACACAAAAACACACTCAGACAATGATAGATACCACTCAGAAAGAGACTGCCATAGATCAACAATACAGCTGTGAAATGCTGATATGCCAATGTCATCAAACACTACTGAGATTTTTGTTCACTGCTGGCTCGGTAAGCACATGTTGGCGAGTTCGCGAACTTTATTGTCAGACCTTGTATGCTGACATACACCATCTACTGACATTACAAAAATAAAGTCACTCATAATGTAACACCTCTAAAATATAGTGCTTGGATACAGAAGTATGAACTTCATATTTCATAATTCTGAACTACACAGTTGAAGCAAGAATATAAAGGTGCAAATAAATGAACACTGATTTTCCAGTAAAATATGCAGATGGTTTTATTTCTTATGTTTAACATAATTAAGTCTCACATACCATTTATGAACAACCACTCACACATGGCCATATGTCTGCCAGATTGTGAATCAAGATTTGAAGCAATGGCTTGGAATACAGATTGCCCAGAGTGAAGGGGGCAGGCATACTGTGTCTGCCTAATACAGATTGATAGTGTCCCTATTCACATGAAACTATGTATGGGACTTAAAGCATGTGTTACAAGTTCCACAAGTTACCTACATATTTACATATTCCATGAAAGTTGTTGCAGTAATCAGTAGGTGTAATTGTGGGGGCCTAATTTATAGCCCATCTTTTGCTGTGGATGATAGCTGCTCCTGCTTATGAGGGAATGTGAATAGATACAGTAAGCACCTTGTATACGGAATTCACTCAGGCTATATCCCTTAGCTACTTCCACCTCCACTCAGATGTGTTTTCTATTCTGCAACTTGCCAAGGTAAACAAATGCACCAAAATTCTTACTCCTGAGTTTCATGAAATGGCTTGTAAGTAGTGATGGTGGTGGTGTTAGCCACCAGCCTGTACAAGTCATTGAAACATCTGCATTATCAGAAGCGAGTCTGGTTCACTTGTTCCTTAGCGTGACAGACAACACTGTAATGTGGAACTGCACCTTGTTACAATAGTGTTATCAGTTTCAGTTTTCTTTAGTATCCGTTGTTTATCTTCCGTTAAAATTGCAACACTTTTTTTTACATTCTGCACTTCAACACTACATGTTTCAGCCCCAAACAGCCATCTTCAGGAGTTTTTATGTTACAGATATTTTACTAAAACTGTGTTAAAAACTGCTACACTGTTTTAATTTGTTTTTAAATACAGAATCATATTCAGTTTTCTTCTTACGTTGCTTATAATTAAGTTGCTGGCGTTGTTGCAAAGAGCCAGTAGCCACACTTCTCCCGTGTCATATGTTCACTCAAGATCAACCATGCAGATTTCATTGGAAGTTCAGGGGCTGTGTGGGGTGTTTACAGAAGTACATATATTACAGTTATATATAAATTGCAGAGTGTATATGAGAGAATAATTTAGAATTATTCAACTTTTGGTATTCACAGGGCATGAATATTGCTAAAAATTATAAATCAAGAACAATCAGAGTGTACAAAATCTTATTTTGACGAACAAAAAATTATACTTGCTTTTAATCAGACAGTATTCAGAATTCACTGATTTGAAATTAATGAGATTTTACCATAGTTTCACTTCAGTGGGAGGTGTCAGCACCATGTTTGTATGAAGAGAGCATGTATGTAACACAGCTTCTAGCGGCCTCTATAGTCTAGGGGTAACGTTCCCACCTCATGATTCAAGGTACGCGGGTTCAAACCCGGTGGAGGTCGTGGAATTTTTAAGGGCGGAAAATTTCAGGGAACAAGTCCTCCGGGAGGGACTTTAAGCCATGGGTCCCATGTCGTAGATTTACGGCATGTAAAAGAACCTCATGCCTCTAGGAGACCTCTGAGCTAAATTAGGCCAAAAAGTTTCCCGTCCAAATAGTTTCCAATGCCTCCGATAGATGGGGACGTATTAGGTACCACTGCCAGAGGATGGATGACCTCTCTGACAGAAAGGGACTAATTATTAGATACCACTGCCAAGTAGAGGGTAGAAACCTTGCTGGCAGAAAGGGGTAAAGTATTAGGTACCACTGCCAGAAGAGGGACTAACTATTAGATACCACTGCCAAGTAGAGGGTAGAAACCTCGCTGACAGAAAGGGGCTGATAGCAAGCACCAGTATCAGTAGGGGATGGAGATGATAGAAATTAAAAGGGGGATGTACAATAGACTATCAGTTGTGGTGCATGGGGAAACCCACCCCCTCAATACTGAATCACTGAACACAGCTTCTGGTAATACAAATTCCACCATCAGTGTAACTGTAGTTTATTATGTTTCACTACATGTTTTGACCCTTATAGGGTCATCCTCAGGTGTTGTTATTTACACATTTTAATCATTGAATTGTCAAGTATACAGACCTTGCAGCACAGTATGCCACATAAATTAGACAACACAACAGTAATAATCGACATCCTGGAAATAAGAACAAAGATAAATTTGTGCTTAAGAAACAGTTAAAACAAATGAATCCTACCAATAATAGAAGAATTAGATAAAAAGGTGCATGGCCTACTACAGCGACAGACACATAGCTGAATGCAGCATACAACACTTTTAAATTAATTTAAAGCCAACTTTTAATCTTCAACTTTCAGTTCAATATATATCTTGTATTTGGGGCACATGGTAGCGCTCAGTCTGTGTGCTTCCATTGAGTTGACTGGCGCTTCATTTCAGTACTGAAAAAATGCATCCATGTCTCATCCATTGTCACAATTGATGAAAAGAAAGTCCCATTCATGCCTTCATCACGTGTCAACATCACCTGGCAAATTGCCATGCGCGCAGCCTTGTGGTCGTCCGCCAGCATTCGTGGCACCCGCCTGGCAGACACTTTCCGCATTCGCATGTCTTCATGCAGGATTGTGTGCACAGATCCCATGGAAATGCCAACTTTGGAGGCGATGTTTTCCACACTCAATTGGCGATCCTCCAAAACAACTTTCTCAACTTGTTCGACCATGTTGTCAGACTGGCTGGTGCGGGGCCAAGATTGTTTTTGGTTCGTTGTCACATGACGTTCGGCCTTCTTTGAACTGTTGCACCCACAAACGCACATTTTTCATATTCATGACACCATCACCACATGTCTCACTCAACTGGCGATGAATTTCAATGGATGTCGCACCACGCAAGTGGAGAAAATGAATGATTACTCGCTGTTCTTGTAATGAAAACATCACCATTTTAGGTATCAAAAACACTCCTCACTCTCGCCCACACCACTAGAAATCTGTGTGCCATACAGTGCTGCCATCTCTGTCACACATTCACAAAGAGTGCACACGTATTTTAAACTAAACCGCATATGTCTATCTTCTCCCAGTCCTGAGAAAAAAAATCGGAGATGTTAGAACTTTAACGCCCCTCGTAGATCAGTGGTAACACTGTTTTGCCTGTAGTCCCGAGTTGTGTTAATAAGGTGCAAATCCATTTAATACAAACCCTGTTTTATAAGTCATGCACACACACACACACACACACACACGTGACAATACATTTGTGGGTAATTGCAGTGAAAAGTGAGTGTGTTGTCTTTAGTAGTTATAATACATTTATCATGAAGCATCTTCTAGGTGCCTGGCAGTGAATGTGTTCCCTTTTGTAGTCAAACTTTTCTGTTTGTTTTGTTTGGTTCAAGGATCTTTTCACCTCACGAAGCAGTGACACAAGATGATTCCATTGACAAGCATCCAAACAGAAAGGCGCGAGGACAGTTACGGACCAAAATAGAGTCTGGTGAGGGAACTATCCCTGTGAAGTCTAGTGATGGTATTCAGACCTGGGATGGCGTTTTGCAGGTAAACATTAATAACGTATGATATGCAGAAGAACAATGGAAAAGGCTGGGCACAGATGCTAGAGAGATAGTAGTAATACAAGTGGAAGCCGAGATAAAATTTGGGCAAAACTGCAATGTGCTTGGAATTCTGGTGGTGTTCATCCTTTCAGTGGAGGCCTGAGTACGTTGAGGTTACAAGACATGTGAACAAGGATTCTGCAGCAGTTACCACCTGTCAAGGTAGATTTGCCCATTTCCTGATGGTTATGGAAAGGGGGCTGTCAGTTTTTCCCTTTCTTCATATTTGTCATTTTCTTGCATCACCTCTTCCATTGTGTAATTCCTCACTGGCCCCTTTGCATGCTTCATGCATACCCCATCTTTTCCTCACACTGGTTTGCCTATGTCTGTCTTTATATACTATAAAGTTCTTATTTTCTTTCCCATCTTGGCTTGTTTATTTGTTGGTGTTTAAGGTTTCCTATGTGCTTTTCCAGCAGGGATATCTCCTACCTCTGTGGTTCCTTCCCACAGTTTTGGTATGACTTTCAGTTTGTATGTCCATATTGTGGGTTCAGGAGGTGAAGGTTGAGTAGATCCTTCTCATTGCCCCTGTTTGCAAGTCTAGGTGTGGATCCTAGACCATAAGCCATGTACACACAGACAGTGCTCCATCTGGGGCGAAGAAGGCATAGACACTACAATGGTCATACAACCATTGCTCGGCAGTGCCTTTCTAGCATGTTACCATTTCCATCAAAGGGTTCTAGAATTGCAGCTTGCTATTAGGTTTGGAATTGTTGGCATTATTCTAGAAGGATGACTTCACTCTTGACATATTCTACATATTATGAATTAACCAGGCAAGACTGGCCAGACTGATACAGGCCTCCAAAAATGATCTCTTTCCCTATGAACTATATGCTCTGATGTCTGCATCCACCCTCCTGTCAAGATGAATGGTCACCAGATTGTAAGTGGTGAAATCATCGATTTGTGGGGTAGACTTCCATTGCCTCTGTCAAAAGGAATTCACACTCATCCACCCTCACATTGGTCACAATTGCTTAACACATGGAGATTTATTGAGTGGTGACCAGGCACATATTTACACTTTGAGTAGTGTACCCCTTACTGTCTTAGATATCTTTGTGCAATGGACACGTTATGACAAAAAACAGCTTCCACTCAGGTATTCTTGTAACATAGTTTAAATGCAGGTATGAATGTAGCATGTTTGCAGTAGTTCTTATTCTCTTGTTAATGGTACCTGAATTGTGCTGATCCTTTGCCATATAAATGTGTTGAATGTTTTCATTCTCTACATTCAGACAAGTGTAACTCTGTAGTTCAACAACTGCAACAACAATTCATATCTATGAATGTAGTTACTTTCTTTATTCAGGGCCAGAGGTTGCTGACAATGTCATGTTCAGACAAGATTGCCCGGTGGAATGTTGTTGGAGTGCAGGGAGCATTATTGTCACACTATGTTGAGCCTATCTACCTGGAGAGTATTGTGCTCGGAAGTTTATTCCATCCTAGCCACATGTACAGGTGAGACAGTTGTTGCGCTTTCCAAGAATTGTGCGTGCTATATATATTGTCATTGATAAAGATTGAACATGTCATCCTGAAGTTTCGGCCAGAAAACAAGTATGGCCTACACGCAAATCAGTTCATTCTTATCCATGAAATTTTGCTCAGAATTATGATGTATGCCCTTTTGACCACACCAACCTAACTTGATTATAGTGCAGCAGTTTGTACAATAATGCTATATCCATAAACAACACACACACACATATATATAAGCTGGCAATATTATTAACATGCATAGAACACTAATTTTTTTTTCAAACCAACCTGCAGTTTTAGCAGAAGCATGTGACAGGACATTCATTGCATTGGTTAATTGAGATGTGCCATACAAAAACATGACTTACAGAACTATTAAGTTCATTTGAATCTCATATTTTCAAGATTGAATAGTAAAAGGAAAATTCTCCATCTCGTTTCAGATGTCACTTTTTCATTCTTGAACCTCGGGGATTTTCTGATGGCTGTTTTTGCTTTGCATGTCAGGATCATGTCAAAAGGGATCTTCCCTGAGGGGAGATGAGTTCCCTCTCCTCCCTTTAAGGGTTACAGATCCACAGGTTGTTGTCGTGAATTTGAATGCTGTGTTTACACACACACGCACGCACCCCCCCCTCCCATGTGCGCACACCATGTCATTAATCCATTTTATGCTTGTAGCATGTTCATATTAAAAATTATGACATTCTATGCTAACTAGTGTTGCTGGATGTAAAAACAGTGGTAGGTCATGTCAAGAGAAGAAGTATTGTTTTGAAATGGAGTGACATATCAAAAAGTATCAGTCACTGTAGAAAATGTGGATAATGGTATAATTTATTGCAGTGAAAGAGTTGGTTTGCTTGTGACAGTTCTCATGTTCCTATTTCTGAGATTCTTGTCTCATACTGAAAAGGTCAAGTTCATTCTTGCACATTGCACTCTGTAAGAATATGGCCACTGCAGTTGATTTTATGAGCTTCAAACTGACGTTATTCATGCAAAACATTATATCCTCTGTTTTATACTTCACACACACACACACACACAGATATATATATATATATATACAGTGCATACAATCAAGTGCGCGCCGCGGCTGCAATTTGCCGTGAGTCATACCACCGCAGAACGGATGCAACTCCTCCCCGCGACTGCAGTGCTCCTACGCCGATGGTCGCATAATCGGAACCCGAGGTTGCATTAAACAGTCAGTCTTTGTCTTGCTGTGGAAGTGGAGTGGAATGTTTACAGCTGTCGACAGACGGTGGAAATGAAGTTCACTATTAAACAGCGTGTGTTTATTGTCGAAACTATTGCAAGGAAAAACATTTACAGAAAATTCGCACGTAGGTTTCGTCAGAAATATCCTGACTCGCCAGTTCCCACAAAGTCGTGTGTAAACAGGCTTCTGAAAAAGTGGCGGGCCACAGGTTCAGTGAGTGACAAGAAGAAGCAATCGAAGAGAACTGTGCTGACTGAAGAAAAGGTTAAGGATATTCAGGCAAGATTACAGATCAGTCCTCGAAAATCGTTAAGACGCTTAGCACAGGAAACTGGTGTTTCGCTAGGATCTGCTCGCACAGCCACAAA